GGTGGTACCCACATTCAGATCCCAAGGATTCTGGCAAGTCTGCTTCTCATGCTGCAATGAAAAAGCACTGAACATGCAGAACGGTCCAGGTTTGGACCTTAGTTTCCGTATTTCCTTGAATCATGTAGTCTCTTTAGCAGTTATATGCTCTACCTTTCTGAAGTAACCTTTCCTATTAGAAAAAGCAGTATTTAAAATGCATCAATATTTTCTCTATAAACACAACCTTCCTTATTTCTCTGTAATGTACAGTATACCCCATGAGTTATTTTTCCACACTGAAGAGGCCCATACCATCATTAGAATCCTCACACTAGTGAGAAATCCAAGACGTTTTTGATGTGAGCAGGAAGTCATTATGAGCACTGCTGAATTCTTAGTTTTCTGTTGCCCGAAACAGCCCTGAAGCACTGCAAAAGTTACTTCACAGTAGTATATATCTGACCTTCATTGGATAAGAAAGACCGCATTTTGGAATTATTTATTTGCTTGATAATAGCTCTGGGAATCTCCTATTGTTTGTTTATTCCCTGAGTCTTTAACGTAACTGCGTGCTCAGATTTGGTTCGGAGGTGTGAAAATTCCTTAGAGGGCATTTTACTGGCTCAGTGAGAAGATGAAGAACAGAGGCCGCCTTTGAATGCTCAGAGCGCTGTGCCAGGACTGATGGCTTGGCAATTCCAGTGCTGCTCTCATTCTACTGCTGGTTGACAAGACAGAGGATGAAACTTTGCTCAGTGCATAGCCTCTGATGAGAAATTAAAAAATACTTGTGCCTTTGTGCGGTACAAGAGGAGGACTGTTTTTCAATTAATATATTCTTTGTTGGTCAAACGCCATGTAACTGCATGTAGCATACTGGTATGTGCTCGCGTGTGACTTGTTTTTGTAAAATTTTCAAGAAAAGAGCATTCCTCTTAAATAGAGGCCACTCACCAAATCCAAAACACATTTAAAATCAACATACTGGTTTTCATTAATGCACATTGGCTTGCCCAGATACTGTATGCTACATTATGTGAAGTACTCTACATACTTAGAGGGCATAATTTTTTTTTTGTATTTTCCTCTGATGCTGCCACTCATAAACACAGAACAGACTTCACTACAGAGCTAATTCAGACCTTTTGAACTCAGGCCTAAAAGTTCTATTTGAATGCAGATTAATATCAATATTTGTGCAGTTTTCCCCACCTTTATGAATATATAATTGTGAAATCCTAGCCCCACTAAAGTTAAAGGGGCATAATTTTTTTTTTGTATTTTCCTCTGATGCTGCCACTCATAAACACAGAACAGACTTCACTACAGAGCTAATTCAGACCTTTTGAACTCAGGCCTAAAAGTTCTATTTGAATGCAGATTAATATCAATATTTGTGCAGTTTTCCCCACCTTTATGAATATATAATTGTGAAATCCTAGCCCCACTAAAGTTAAAGGGAGTATTGCCTTGGATTTCAATAGAACCAATTTATAAATTTAATTGAAGAACATTTCAAGAATATGTATTTATTTAAAGAACAGAAACAACTGTACTATTAAAGGTAGGGAAATTAAAACGTAAGAAAATAAAACAAAACACTTCCTGGGTATTCTTAAGTCTAGAAACCCAGAACTGTTTTGTTCATAGAGAATCAGAGAGAACGCAGATAATACTGGCTACTCATATTATTTTAAAAAATCTTCATTTAATGATGTTTAGAAACAACTACACATTCAGTGAAACTGTCATTTGTTTTACTACATAGTGTATTTTTGCTATGTAGTAATCATACTATTGCTAATATACATCATGTCATATTAATTACTTACTTATTTCCCATAAATATTTCAATTAAATGACATGCTGGGGAGAGAATATCTAAGAACAGGTAGGGAGAAGAGAGGAAAGAAGCTGGTAGGCATGGGTGGTGAAAAAACAAAAATCAAACAATGGAAGTATCAGAATTGGATGAAAATGAAATTAACTATCTGATTGGAACTTCAGTAATACTGTATAGAGCTTGCAATGCAAATAAATTCTGTTTTACCACTTTGGGAAGAACATTGAAGTTTACAGGCAATCTGAAAAAGTCTTGCTAAAATGGCAAATAGAATTCATATACATGTTACAAATTTACTGTAGAGATAATGTGGAATAGCATAAACTGACAGAGGAAGAGAGAAATATAAAAGGCATAATTAAAGTTTTTGTATTAACATTTCCTTGATTTTTTTCAGCTTACTATAACATTCCAGTTCTACTTTTGTCATTTCCCTAACCTTTTCCTCTCCATTTTAAACAAACACAGAACTGGACAATCAGAGATAATAAACAGATCTTGACGTTAATTAACAATCTATTTCAGCCCACTATAAAATATGTCATTAAATAATTTAACATCTTATAATAGTCACTTGAATTTTAAAGATAGAAAATTCACTTTGTTGCTGTTGTTGTTTTTTAATTTAGCATTAATTTTTTAACATAGTGGAAAAAATGTAAATAAGTGGTATATTGCCTTATCATTATTCAGCTACCCTTTCCGCCCCCCAGCTCAGTATAAGTAAGGAACTGGAAAGGGCAAAGTAGTGATACCAAACCTCCTCAAACACAGGACTGACCATAATTAACTCCTACCTTTGGGAATCATTATGTTCTATTAAATTATCATCTACCTCCTCAAACATAAAAGACATAGCCTGCAAGCAGGCTTGTAATTTTTGACATCCATTTTCATATGCCTTCCATGCAAAGTGAAAATAAATGCAAAGCCCAATATATTATAAAAATGGCCTAGAATGCAGATCTCTCACTGCTCAAAAGACTGTCAATGGATTTGTTTTGTTGGTAATTGAAATGACAATAATTATCTGTGAGGCTTTTCAGTTTTACAGCAGAACTGGAAAAGCTCTCATTGGGAGGACAAAAATATAAAAGAATTCTGGAAAAATGAGGTCAGTAGATGTTGGCTCATGCCAAAAGAAATGGCAGCTTGAAAATTGTTCTTTACTATATCCAGGTGCATAGATGATGTCACTGAAAAAAGGGAAGAGGAATGAGTACAAATATTTAAGTGTTTTCCTTGAGAAAGGAGAAACTTAAAAGCACACAACTGCAGTAGGGAAGTGCTTCAGACCAACAGGTAAATAAAATATGTTCAAGATTTAAAGACTAAAGCAAGAATCGTCTCTCTGAAAATTTTAAATCTGCTCTAATTAGAGGTACGCAAAACTACAATAATCACTACTAGAAAAATGCCAGAATAATTAAAATGGGGAAAAGAATCTATTAAATATTTTCAGAAGGTGGTAAAAAACATGGGGTTCCAAATTGTAAATCTGTCAAGACCCATGAGAATTTATAGTGTGCAATACTGTTACTCAGTTTCAAAGTAAATACATTCCAAACTGCCTGTTATGGCTAAAGACAGAAGATAAAGAAGAAAAAAATCATCTATAAAAGGGAGCAGGGAAAAAAGAAAAAAAGCTGTATGTCTGCTTTCTAGGTGAAAAATCAAGAAAATCAGGTGTGGCCTTATGGACTGCAATGGAGATGCATGACTGCAAAACTGAATACTCTAATCAGACATTGAATTTATAAAAATCAACTTTACACGTGTATATGTGCCGATGCTGGGTCTGAATTACTGTGTGATCTGAAAGTCCTGCTCTAATGCCTTAACTTGCTTTTCAGCTGAACTTCTGCATTTCTCACATCTTACCCTATTCTTTGCTGCTGAAGGAAAGGTTTGCATCCTGAAACATATTATGATTGCAGTTCTGTGAGCAGGAGGACTGTACGGATTTCATATGGATTTATGAATTCAGGTTGATTCCCATGTGAAATCTCTGAAGTCTAATAATGGCTGAAATCACACTGCAGTCTTACCTTCAGCAGAGGCATTAACAGGGACTCTTTCCCCAACCTGTTTTTCTAAATTTTATAGGAATTTAGTATCACTGAGGGAGCCAAGACTTAGAAAAACTTGACTGAAATGGGCCAAAGGATTAAAAAGTTATTAGAAAGGACAGACAGACAGAACAGAGAGAGGGAAGGAATAGCATCATTTCCTCAGGAAAACATATTAAAAAAGACAATTCAGAACAATAAAAATTATAATTTTTGTTAAGGATTGACTGATGATAATGTTGTTTGTATTTTAAAACTAAATTGGTCACATTTTTAGAAGTAGTATATATATTTAACTTATGGATACTTCAACTGTATTTTTATTGTGTAACATGAACGGTCAATTTTTGTTTTTAAGATACAAGGAAACATTACAGTCAATTCAGCCAAGCTGTAGCTAAAAATTGGCTGTGGATTTAATAAAAACATTTCATTTTGTATTACTGATGTCTCTAGGTGAAATTATTTCACCTTAAGACATTGCTATTTCAAAAAGCATCTTTCAAGAACTGCCCTTGCTGGGTGTGAACAGGCCACTAGGTAAGACCAGCCAAAGGAATGTAACAATGTTTGACAATTAATGCAATTACAAGTTCTTGTACAGTGATTGCTGTCAGACTAATTTCAACTTTAATAAATATTAAGAATGCACCAAGCAAGCCATAGCATTCTCATCTATTGCATTTTTGACTATGTTAACTAAAAGAGTAATGTAAACTACTTTAGGAGGTTTCTTTGAGAGTTTTCCTTGATGTATTCATTATTCATAAATGCTACTTTTCCTTGTCTCCATCTCCACACTAGTTGATTAAAATGATGGGGGTTCTAGATGCAATGGTTCCAAGAAGTATGTGAAAGAGAAAGCGCAAGATGCATGACTGGGAAATAATGCAGTCAAGTGTCTTCTGAAAAGCACTCACGATACAGATACACCTGTGTAAGCTGTATACATGTGGAGATAATTAGTTACTTCAAAACTGTGCTGAAAGCCTGTATTAACACATACCTTCTTGTACTATTCATGAGATTTCAGAAATCAGATAAAACATTATTTTCTTCAAGAACTTGATTTTATACAAGCATTTTCAAGTTGTGCTTGTTCTTACCTGTAGCAGAGCTGCAAACAAATATACTGCTATAAAGATAGGAGTTAAGGAAGTGTGGCCGCTTTTCATTAAGTGGATAGTGTACAAGAAAATCAGGTGTCCAGGAATCACCAAAAGAAGCAGAACTTGGGCTGATTTGTTATTTACTCCTACAACAAAAAAAATCCAAAATTCAGTTAAGCTCTTCAATTACTGTATCAGATTTTTATTAATTTTAATATAAAAAGCAGTTTTGGAATTCCACAGCATTGACTATTGTGGAACAGCAGGCATTATTTTCTGCTAAAAGACTCCTTGAGGATTTTCACAGGGGGGAAAAAAGCCACCCCTACTGTCTGCCAGAAAAGTTAAGCAGGGCCCTTCCAGAAGAGGGCGCAAACTGTCTGCTTTCATTCTGTACTCCTGTAATACCATCTACTTTTTTGGAGCTGCAGTGACCTCCTAAAGCCTTCCTAGGAAAGAGGATGTTTTGGACACCATATTCAAGACATCCTCAAAAGTACCTTATATTTCTAAAAAGTAATCCCACATTTATCATTTTCTCATCTGTTCCATTTCATTTCATAAATATGAAAGTGTAATACATGCTGTTGACACATCACATTTCACCACAGTTACTACATTATTAAGAAAGGGGGCAATACAGGGGAGGAATAAGCTGTGAAGCAAGAATCGAGAAAGAAAATGACAAACGGGAAACGGAAAGCAGGGACTTGGCTTAGTAATAATGTTAGATATAAAGTTTGGTCCTAACAGGAGATTGGTTTGAACTTATGGAGTTGAATGACAAAGGTTAGGAGCAGGTGAACAAGCTAAGGAAAGATGAAGGTTGAAATCCTTCTAAGTGGGTATCATCAGTGTCCTGCTTCATCAGTCCCTATCTTTGCCCCTTGCCAGGGTTGCACCTTTCTCTGTGTTCCTCTCTATGCATTGCCTCCTGCAGGGAGTTCCTTGTGATTCCCACAGGCAAACAGCTGCAGGCAAAGGAAACCGCCAAGCCTCTGCTGCCTTTGAATTGCATACAAGTTCCGTTTGTTGCTGTTTCTCACTGGGGGTACATTCTGGCATACATTGGGGGAAAAAGGAGACATGAGACGGTAGTTTTAACAATTAACTGACTAATACATACCTGTACCATAATAGGTTCTGCATGGATAATAGCAACCCTTGGCTTCTTCTGGCAGTTCTCCAGGAATGCTGTGTAAATGGAGGTAGGTAGAAATTCTGCTAGCTTGAATAGCTACTAGATTACCACCAATACCTGAAATACAAAAGGGAAGAAGTGGTGAATTTTCAACTATTTTTTTCTTCTAGTAGGCAATATTTTTGCAAATTTACCAACTTCCTCTATGTTTACCACAGTCTCCTACATACAAAAGTCAAGAAGAGAAACATCTTTAGAATGTGTATTTGTTATAGACAGGCTAACACCAAGCACTAAAATAAGTCAAAAAACTTGGGCTACAATTTGGTGTACCACTGGATATTTGGAATATCTGTATTGCAAATTTGGATATTTGGAGATCAGTTTTAATTCATGATAAGTGCAAAAGATTCCTCCAAAAGGTTCGATCTGATGCTTTCTCATAGGTGAAGCTCCCTTTTATTGCTCCCTCTTCTTTGGAAATCCCTCTTGGAACAATAGAAGTACTACATAGTTGTGCCACTGCTGGATTACCTTCCCAGGTCAGTATTGCTGGCAAGTATAAATAACACAAATCAGATGCACTCACTACCACAAGCATAAATGCAGATTTCACACACAGAATCATAGGGCTGGAAAAGACTTCAAGAGCTAATCTATCCATTCCCCTTTGCCACAGAGCAGGATTAACGATAATCTTCTGCCATTCATAATTCAGGATGAAAGGACAAGACAAGTGCCTCAATAACTAATTTTTAAAAGAATGGTAGTGATGGAGATTCTACCTTCTCCGTGACAACTGTTGATATACTACCCATTAGAAAAAAGATTTCTATGAAACAAACCACCCTATGATGCAAAGAGAAGTGGCTGGCATTGTTAAAAGGCCACTGTCTATAATCTTTGAAAAGTCATGGAGAACAGGGGATACCCCTGATGACTGGAAGAGGGCAAATGTCACACCCATCTTCAGCAAAGCATTTGACAGTTTCCCACAGCTTCCTCCTAGACAAAGTGGCAAGTTACAGACTGGATGGGTAGTCTGGGAGATGAGTAGGAAATTGGCTAACAGATCACACTCAGAGGGTGGTGATCAATGGTTTTTACTTGGGCTGGCAGGCTGCCACAAGTGGGATCCCCCAGGGATTGATACTGGGCCCCTTACTGTTTAACATCTTCAAAAATGACCTGGATGATTGGATTGAAAGCACCCTCACCAAGTTTCCTGATGATACTAAACTGGGTGGTGAGGTGGACATGTCAGAAGGGAGAGCCATCTTACAGAGAGACTGGACAGGCTGGAAGAGTGGGCTAGCAAGAACACTATGAAGTTTAACAAAGACAAGTGCAAAGTCCTGCACCTGGGACAACATAATCAAAAAGCCCAGTACAGGCTAGGATCTGTGTGGCTGGGGAGCATCCTTGCTGAAAGGGACCTGGGGGTCCTGGTGGACAAGATGAACATGAGTCAGCAGTGTGCTGCTGCAGCAACGAAGGCAAATCGGATCCTGGACTGCATCCACCTCTACTTGCAGAGATAGAGACATGATCATCCCACTCTACTCAGCGCTTGTCAGGCTGCACCTGGAGTACTGTGTCCAATTCTGGACCCCACAATTCAAGAAAGATGTGGACATACTGGAGAAGGTCGAAAGGAGGGCCATGAAGATGATCAAAGGGCTGGAGAACCTGCCCTATATGGAAAGACTGAAGGAGTTAGGTCTTTTCTCCCTGGAGAAGAGAAGGCTCAGGGGAGACCTCATCACAGTTTTCCAGTACTTAAAGGGCGGCTACAAAGAGGACGGAGAATCTCTTTTCACAAGGAGCCACATGAAGAGGACAAGGAGCAATGGGTACAAGTTGCACCGGAAGAGGTTTCATCTCAATGTAAGAAAGAAATTTTTTACAGTGAGAACAATCATTCACTGGAACAACCACCCTAGGGACATGGTGGAATCCCCTTCACTGGAGGTTTTCAAGATGTGATTGGACAGGTTGCTAGACAATCTCATCTAGGCTCCCTTTCCCACAAAAGGTTGGACCAGATGATCTTTCGAGGTCCCTTCCAACCTAGGCTGTTCTATGTTCTATGAATTTTTACTTCAATGAATAGAAAACTAAACCAGCTTGTTATATCTACATTACAGAATGCAGTGGCGCTAGCATGAAATTTTCCTATTTTCTATACTCTAGAGTTGTCTACTTGCATATCAAGCATATACTTTTTTTTCCCCCAGATGGTTTACATAGCAATGGGCTGCTCTGAGAAGATAAGATTAGGCAGAAGTAATGCAGATCTTGTCCCCACTTAGGAAGGAGAAAGTCCTTGTTTATTGTAGTTGAACTGATTTGTTTTTCTGATGCTTAGGGCTTTGTTTGGTTGCAGAACCAAATCTGTGTAATCTGTGCTCACCAGAAGACTCTATTTGCCAAATTCCTTTGGTGAGTATGGAGTGGTTAAGACAAAGATCTAATACTGAGAACTCAAAGATTTCCTGCCTCACCACTGCTTAAAGACAATTAATGGCGGAACCTAACAAGGAAGTAGGACTTTTAAGCAAAAAGCTTCAAATGCAAATCAGGAAATGAGGTATTAGAAACAAAAAAAATTATGTTGCTAGAAAGGACTGTTCATCAAACTTACCTGCATCTTCCCAGTCAGAAGGGACAAAATATGAACTACCAAAAGGTTGAGTCAGTCTTTGCAAAGAAAATTAAAATAACAATAGCTTTTTTTCAGACAAACTACAGAAAGAGCAGTAAAATAAGGGATTTATATAAACTACAAAAGGGGTTTAAACAGATTTAAAAAAAAATCTAAGCAGGGTCCAAAGTCTGTCTTTTGATTGAGAACAATAAGTGAGACTTCTGACTAATAAGAATAAGGTATGGAAAGGGAGGCAGAAATAAAATTAAGGATCAATGCACTATATTTGGATGGGGATCAGATAATTTCTGAGACTGAATTTTGAAAAAGCTGTTATGTAAAACTGCTTCTTAATAAAGCTACAAAGCTGGGGATGGTGCCATATGACTAGAAAATATGAAACTGTTTCTACTTAAGAAAGAGGGGATAAAAGCAATCTGGGTAATTACAAGCAGGCTAACAACTGCAATAACTGATATATTCAAAACAATATTAAAAGAAAAAAATCGGTAAACTCTTCTCTCACTATCTATTATAGCACTATGAGAAGAAACAAAAGATAGAAGTAAATAGGGCTGTTTTTCAAGGCATGCTTGCGGTTTGTAGCAATGCAACCACAAACCATGTTGGCACAAAAAAACCAGATTTCAAGTATTTCCTAGGCTGTATGCAATTTCCTCTTGTGACTGATAATTATCTGCTTCAACAAATTCAGACAATCAGAAATATGATAGATGATCTGGACCTCCTTCCCTAATTAATAACAAAGGAAACTGAGTGAGAGAAATGAATTAAGGAAAATGGAAATTTGCCCATTTGAAATGGCAATAAAAAACTGTCTGGACAACAGAGACATAGACAAGTCTATGAAAGAAGGTATGAGATTGATTGTCAATCCTTTGATGGGTAGCTATTAATCAAGAATCTTTTTACTTTTATAATCATCGTTTAGAGAAAGTATGCCCCAAGCCCTATTGTGCATGTAGATAACTCATTTTTCTTAAGTGAATTAAAAGTAGTAATAGTGATTCTAAAACAAACTGGCCAGCCATGGGACGCTGGTAAAAAGGAGGTGATATCTGCTCTGCAAAGGAAACTGACATGCTAACAAAAACAGCCAGCGATTTCAAGAGGTGTAACATTCTCTTTTCTATTTTAGCTACAGCTAAGCTGAACATATACAATCTATTTTAGCTAACTGGAAATGCAATATTCATATGTTAAAAAACATTATTTTAAATTTCATTTGGTCTGAGTCTCAATAATCTGAGTGGTATTTGGATATTTTTAAACTCACAGAAGACAGGCAGGTGTAAAAAGCTTCTAGAACCCATATATCCTGCCCAGTCTCAACCAGCCAACAATGTATGGTGATGGACAGCAGCAGTCATGCTGTCTTTTAGTTCTGTCCACCCATCTGCCAATTCTTCCTTCTAACTATTTGTGAACCTTTGGGCCAATTTCAACCATGTCTGACACAAGGATTCCTAGAGATACTAACGATCTCCAAGTATGGTTAAACAAGCTAACAAAAAGGAAACAGTGGCCAGGTAAATAAAGAGAAAGATTTAAATCCATGCCCTCAGTGAGACAAAAGCAGTAATATGGCTGTATAATTAACAGCATAAGCATGCCAGCTGGCCAGTCAGCACCAAGCTTGGAGCTAGGCATGATGCCTCTTGCTCAGCCAGTAGTTCAGTGACACAGAAGAGGAATGATGATGTTGTGGAAAGCAGAGGGAGAATGGAGAGAATGTTGTGAGCAGCGGGTGTTGCAGGGACACGAGGCCATAGGGAACACTGGGGGTTGAAAGGGCTATCTGGTGCTCTAAAAACTCAGGATACAAATCAGCATGGAATCAGGTTTTATTATTCTTCTGGTCATACAATGACTTATATAAAGCTGTGCTCGCATTGAATGAATCACTTCAATATGTACAGAGATATTCAGTTTGTTTTGTAACAGCAGTTACTGGGCACGTGAAGGTATCTCAGCAGTATCAGATTAATCAGATCCCTGCAAGAAGCAGAGAACAGATGAAACTGCATAGGCTGACAAGATGTCAATACACAAAATTGACAGCTTCTCAGCATCTTCTGAATGCATAAAATGGTTGTGTGCTCAGTAGCTACTCATATTATGAAAATCTCTGTAGACATATATGAGGACTGTTTCCATGAACATTTAAGTCAGAAATTTTTTTTCCTGGAAAACAGTATTGCAGTCATCATAGCAAATACTTTATAATATAGACTAACTTTGTTAGCTTCTTTTCATTCTCATGAGAACTACAACACAGAGGAAAATAATTTCTTTCAAAAGTAAAATCCTGCAACTGTTACTGCATTCCTCTCAGAACAGCAGATGTGTTTAACTTCAATATGAGAGTGCTACTTCGTCCATAAGCAGAAGAGGTATTGTCTGCTAAAGTGTGAAGGATGTCATGCTGACTTGCAACATTAAAAGAAAA